ATATATATATATATATATAACTTCTATATTAACTTACAAAATAATTTTTTTTAATTTAAATAATTTTTTTTATCCGTGCATCATACGGATCTATGTATAATTGAACTATATGTTAATTATAATTTAATTGATTGTGGTAATAGTTAGATACGGAGAGTCACATTTGTGAGACCAATATATTTAATGAATTTTTTTGTGTTTAATTCAAGCTATGTAATTAGATCTTTTAGACTAAATAGTACCATGAGAAAGATTGATGTTTATTCCAATAACCAGAGAGATACACGTAATTGAACTTCAAATTTATTTGATATTTAAGAGATTTGTTTGATATTTTTGAAATTTCTAACCCAACAACATTTAGTACTTTGAGGGCCTAAGTTAATTGTGTACTGAATTGTTTAGTGCCATTTGGATTGTGTTGTGATTATTGATTTTTCTATTTTGGGGGTGGAGGTGGAGGTGGAGACCAACATATAAATTTGTTTGTCTCGTGACATAACTCAATTTTGAAAAGAATTAAACTTGCATCTGCAAGATCTGAGAATAGCATCAAATTGGGACTTAACTATACAACCTCCTAAAATATCAATTACAACTGTTTTTTCAATCTAATTCAAAGATAACACATGCTGAAAACCAAATTTGTCAACCAGTTAATTGCTTGAAAAAGGGCCAAAGCCTCTACCTCCACAACTGGAATCATACCCTTAGAACACTGTTTTTGCAAGTGGGAAGGCTCCCCTGTCATTTCTCAAGCACATGCCCAAACCAAATGATGGAAATGTGCTATCAAGATATAAATCCAGACAAATTAGAAAGCTGTTAGATTTTTCTCAACTTTTAGAAACATTAAAGAATATGTAGGTTTTTCATCTAGAAGCGGGACATGATTATAGTTTCTTGATAACTGACACTAGTTGGAAGAACATATGTTGCTTGATTTAGGTTTTTCACATATAGGATCTTAAGAGCTTTCAAACGGTTGCAAATTTGTTTTAATGTTAGTGGGGTAAATCAGATTTTTCCCCCATAACCTTGGTTATACAATAAGGTTGTTTTATAACCTCAAATGTAAGGTCCATCAAATTAACATATGTTTCTATTTCCTTTTTTTGATAATTCAAAATTAACAATTTTTGAACCAAGTCTCATGATCCAGCAATTGTATGGCATGTTCTAAGTTTTTTTATTTTACACGAAAAAATTAAGCACACTTTATTACATGTTATATAAGACTAGTTAGAGATCATGTGATTTAGGACCTCCTAATAATTCCTCGCTCTAAGACATGGGTAGTATGAAAAAAAAAATTACAATTTTCTGTTATCCATGGTTTTGGGATTTTAATTACATTATCACCATCCTCCATCTAAGACTCATCTTAAAGAAGGAAAGTACATGCATTTAATATGAATATTTAGTTGTAACAGATCCATCAAGGGACAAAACTCAATGTGCAACAGTTACTTCTTAAAGTCGAACTTCAAATATATTTTCCCTCATTTCCTTTCTATAGTTAGTCTACAATCTTGTTTCTGATTATTACATTGACCAAATCGATTTTTAAAATCTCTTGTTACGATCATGAGTAAAATAACTTGAATAAAACCAACAAAAGGAGCATAATATTATTATATGTCAATATAAAAAGGATTAAACATATAAAACAAAAGAAAAAGAATCATATGCTTACCAACAGAAGGATCCTACAGATGCAAGATGTGGAAATCTGATTATGGAACAACTTTAATATGCTTTACATTTTTTAAATAATAATAATAAATTTTTTTAAAAAAAAGACCAAGAGCATTTCTTCCATCTGTAATCAAACAAAGCAACACTAAATTTAATCTTAGTGCAGCTTGTAAAGATATCCATGGAGTCATTGTGAATTTGAATTCTACTATACATCTTTGTTTGGTCTATCGTTACTAATCTTGCATCCATATTCGATGATGCCTCCAATCCTTCTATATGATGGAAGTGTAGCAAAAATATGCAATTGGTACATGGTTTCCTCAATTGCCAAACAGTTGTGCTTCCAAGCTCACAAATTTTGGATGCCCATCATTATCAAGTTTGATACTTCAAGGTGCTTCTCATATAGCCAACAATACCCATATTTCTTCACCTCAAAAGTCCAACTTCCAATGTTCGTTATTTCAATTTCCAATTTGAAATCAGCATCCCAGCATGTCAACAACGATTGTGGTAAAGCATAATAGAACAACCACAAGTGATCTTCCGTGACTTGATCTTCTCCCAAAAACAACGGAATTTCAGCACGAAAACGATGAACTGATTCTGTTTTGGGAGGAGCCATTATTCCAGAAGGAGGTCCAAATACTACACAACAAGCAAGGCCAATGCAATTATTGTCTTTCTGCATAAGGGGAGATTCATCTACGGTTATTAAACTGCCTATGCCTTCGTGATCATTTTTGAACCAACTGGGTATTTCACTTCCTCTAATAATACTTGAAATGGGCGGAATAGCCATATAGTGCGCTGTGAATAGGTGGTAAACCTAGTACCACAGACATAGCTACGTGTTAGTGCCCTGTGAATTGGTAGTAAACACACACATAAAGAAAAAGAGAGAAAGGAAGGAGTGGACACACCTCAAGAATTTGTCTCGTCCATGAAAAAGCCATGCTAGTGCAATGTTCCAACTCAACTAATTCTGGACAACCATAAATATTTAATCCTGCTTCCTTGTACTTCAAAAGATCTAAATACTCTGGGAGCTGGTATCTTTCTGATGACAAGTCAGTTCGCGAAGGAAGCTCAGGCAAATATTTCAACTGCCTACAATCCTGTAAATTTAAATAGTACAGCTTCCAAAGCTTCTTGAGGCTTGGCAGTGTGGCAAAATTGTTTCCCCTTAAACATAGGGATTCTAAGAGATGTAAATTTCCAATAGCATCAGGTATTTGAACTAAATTGCAGAAATTTAGATGAAGTTCACGCATACAACCAAGTGTAGGCGAGGAAGGCAACAAGCAACTCACCAAACCTTTATGTGCTCTAGAATGCAACAAATGTAAAGGTGACTTAAACCACCTTTTCATGATGGACGATGTTGAGTGCGAACAAATTGGAGATTCACCTATGCAAAGCTTCTTCATTTGCTCTTCATCCCTTGCTTCATGTAAGAACTGGATATTAAACAATTTCTGACAGCCAGAGAGATTCAAATATTCTAGAGAACTTAGGCACAATATGCTATTGGGTAAGCTTATTAGATTTCCACACCCATTCAAATCTAAAAAGGTAAGCTTTTGCAGTAGACCAATCGATGTATTGATCTCCTTGAGTTGTCTACATCCTCGTAAATTTAGTGTTTCAAGAATTTGGTTCTCTCTGAAATGTGGTGTCTTGGTAAGACTTTTACATTTTTCCAAATTCAAAAGAGTGAGCTTTGTTAAAAGACCAACGGATGGATGAAGCTGCCTCAGTTTTTTACATCCATTCAAATCCAACAACCTAAGATTTGGGGCCTCCCCAAGATCTGGTATCTGGATTAGGTTTTTGGAATGAGCGAGATCCAAATGTCTTAAATTGGGTAGAGGCTGCAGTGAAGGGACAATATTAGCAAACAAAGTTAATAATAACATTCCAGCTTTCTTTGCTTTCTTTAATTAATCTGAGAAAAAGTAAATAACATAATAGAGTTTGTATTTTTTGTTTGCTAATTGATAGAAAAACAAAATAGAAAAGTTACAATAACAATCTACACTACCTTTTTATCTTTCCACACTTGTTTCATGTTGCTTTTACGTAGGGATAGATGAATAAGGTTGTTCGGTTGAAAACTTGGAGGCAAGTGCTTAAAAGGATATTCAAACCATATAAGATACCCCAACTCATTCGAAAGATGATCGAGGTTGCCACAAAAGTTCAGAAAGTCAAGTTTGAGAAACTTAAGTTTACTCATTTTTGATAGAGCATCGGCCCTTATTGCTGTTTCATAAAACTCCATTAGGAAATCTTCAACAGCTATGACCTCATGATTTATTACAGATTCCTATAATAATGTAAAATGGGAAGATAATGTTAGATCTTTGGGAGCATTTACAGATTGTAGAAAAATGACAACCTAACATTTTAAAAACTCAAATAATATTTTACCATCTTGTCTGACATAACTTTGAGGAGATCTTGATAATCCCACAACCTACTCCACTTTATTGGCTCCTTAGGTGATTTTTCTCGAGCAATACACCTTCCCAAATCTATCAACAAGTCATGCATACGAATATCCCCATCCTCAATAGTTATAAGCGATTTTTCAACAAGAACTTGTAGGCCATATTCAGGATGAAATTCACGAAAAGTTAGAATCTCCATTACATGTTCTTCCTTTTCGTTATTGAAGAAACAAGCAATATCTAGAAATATCTCTTTCTCTAGGTTATCCAACTCATCAAAACCTAATCGCAGGAAACCTATAATATTGTCACTTTTATTTTCTTTAAATCTAACCAGTGCACTTCTCCACTGTGAGATACTTCGATCAAACAAAGATGAGCCCAATACTTGAATTGCCAAAGGATGGCCTTGAACATGTGATAGTATATCATATGTCAACTCCTCATAACCACTCATAATATGATTACCTTTGAAAGCATATTTGTAGAACAATTGGGTAGCATCTTCGTGATTTAATGGTTGGACTTGATAAACATCATCTACTCCATATTTCCTCAATATATGTTTATCCCTAGAAATTATGATAATTCTACTCCCCCCACCTAGGCATTCACGTAACAGAGCCTCCCTATTCCCTGTAAACATATTTAGTTGCCTATCTTGATCAACATTATCAAGAACAATAAGTGCCCTTGCATGGTGTAACCTTTCCCATGCTAAACATGTTCCCTCGGAAGCATTGAAAATTTCAAGATTCTTTTCTTTAAGGCATTGTGAAAGTAACTGCTTTTGTACACCTATAGTACCAGAAGCTTGATAAATTTTGCTTACATCAATGAAACAACAAAAATTATATTGTTCAGAGATTCTTTCATATAAAGAATGAGCAAGAGTTGTCTTTCCTATTCCACCCATTCCACTAATTCCGACAACTCGAACATCGTTAGCCAACTCTAAACACAATATCCTTGATAATGTTTCAACACGAGATTCCATTCCAACTAGATTATCTTTTGGAAGACATGAAAATTTATGACCCAATATGTTTTTTATCTTTTGAATAATTTCTTCAATCTCTGCATATTGTGGCCTGAAATTGAAAGAAAATAAAAAATGACAAATTATCACCTAGAGAACTAAATTACAGGATATACATGAATAGGAAATAAAAATAATACCGTACTTTTTCCCTTTTTATATGCTAATTACATTAAACACATATTTGTTTGTATGCAATCTACATGTTATGTCTTCAACCTCTCTCAACTCTATTTTAGAAAGGGGTAACAATGTAATGATGAATATATGCAGATGGATATAAGGTAGTGTTATATAGGTAAGAAATAAAGAACCATCAAGAAATGAGAGAAGATTATTTACTTGTTTTGGATATCCCAACCAGAGAGATTGGCCACTCGAGTGAGAGATTCTCTCCATGTCTGCACTTCCTCCATCTTCTCTTTATCTTCTCTGAATCTTTCTTCATGTTCTACAAAGGCTTTTTCATAGCATCCACTCTGTTTTCGCACATCTGAAGGATCAACATCATAAAAGATAGGAAGAACACACCTTTGTGAAGTTTGAATGCAATTGCATATGTGAGCTAATTCACGCAAGCACCAAGTGGAGGAAGCATAGTTCTTAGAGAAGACCACAACGAAAAGGCGAGACCCTTCAATGGCTTGTAGCAACTCGGGTGCAATGGATTCACCTTTGTGGAGATGTGTATCATCTTTGAAAGCCACAATGCCATTTCTACTGAGATCATGAAAGAGAAAGGAAGTGAAGTTGTTGCGTGTGTCTTCACCGCGGAAGCTGACAAACACATCATAAGTCCTTATCATGTGAGACGAAGAGGAGCTGCATTGGATGATGGCGTTAGATGCCATTGCAATTGCCAAAAGTGGAAACAAACTTGTAGAGAATGAAAGATGTGCAATAGAATTTGTGTAAAGATGCAAATGCAAAAGCAAGAACGGGTGATAGAAATGAAGGGTTGAAGCTGTGAATGAAGTTGTTTGATTATGTATTGAGGTAAAGAGAAATGGTTCTTGGAAGGTTCTACCAAGTTTCTGAGACTTTGCACTGAGATTCAGACGAAATCAAGTTGCAATTGCCACTATTGCATGAAGTCCAAGTTGGCTGCTCAATTATCTTAACGTTAGTGTATATGAAAACATTATTTTTTGAATGTCCTGTTTTTTCCACTGAAACGGTTTTGTGGTTTGGGCATTAAAGAATCTTCAACCTTTATTCCAATTGGATGCTTCAACATAGTTTCTCATATATAATTAAAGAATATATATAATTAAATAAAAGCCGCTAGTTTTTCTTGGCGGCTTCTACATTTCACTAAAGTTTCTCATAGTTGCCTTTAAGAATCTTCAACCCTCCTTCCAAAAAATTAAGTTGCAATAATTTTCCCTTTAGTTTTCCATTGCCTTGTTTTCTCGATTGAAGAGAATAAGATAATTTTAATGTGTAATAATTTTATTAAAATAGTTTTTGTTCGACCAATTGAGCGTGATTCAAATTAAAACCTCCAGCATTGGCACAATGTACATTATCAGGTCGTATACATATATATATTTACATGGTTGTAAATACATAGGAATTGGAAAAGGCAATGAGAATTTTGTTTCTGAGTAAGGGAAATGCCTATTATATTTGTGTAAAAGATTAATAATATTTTTATTTATGCAAAAATAGATATGAATATTAACTGTTTACAAAGCTAAATATAGAAATACAAGTGGGTATTTTATGCAGCCTAATAAAAGCTGACAGAATTGGTGGCACTTTCGTGGTAGCTAGCATCCGTGGAGTTGCATAAATAATTTATATTATTTATACTCTAATTGTTAGTAAAGAATATAATAATATTTCACTTAAAATTATTTATTTAATTTGATCAAATCATTAAATAGTAAAATAATTTTTTTAGTAGAGATTGGAACAATTGTTTGTATCTAATCTCGTAAGTTTAATACTAAGCTGATAATAAATTAATCGAAATAACATATTAATCAAGGTAGACATCTAGCAATACTTCTTAACATCCAAATAGTATAAAGTAATATTTTTTTTTAAGAACTTAGAAGAACATATAATATTTTCCTTCATCATTATAACTCTTAGTTAACTATATAGAGTATGGTATTATATTGTCAAATTCCATTAAGTTAATCTATCATGAATGACTTAAGAAACTTATTTGTTCTTTCAATCAATTTCCTTGGCCAAGATATTATTTTATTCATAGAGTTCATACTCATTATCAAGAGTTGATGGATTCTTTCTTGATTTATTATTAATTCTACAAGCGTTTGATCATATCCAATATTCATTCAACTAGTACTCTAAGGTATTAGGTGTCTGAAATTAAAATATAATAAATTACTTGTTAATTACTATAATAATCTCATGTCAAAGAAAAATATTTAATTTCTTCTTGAAAAAATTTGATTGAAAAATTAAGATAATGTAAAACATTAAAAATTCTCAATTAAGTTGATTCAAATGATAATATTCACATATGCATCATCTATATATGTAATTAATAAATGAGACCTATTAATTTTTGGATTGATATCCCATATACAACAATCCTATGATCAAGAATGATTTAGATTAAAATAATAAAAGACTTTATTTCTTATTATCATCATCTCTATTATGAAAACAAACATATATCAAAGATTTTATCAAATTATATCTATTTAACAAAACAATAAATACAATAATAAATAATAATGTTTTATTAAATCCAATATAATTATATGATAAATTGGATCTTGAAATGTTTAATTATTCTCCAACAGAAATATGTTTATCAAGACAAGTACAAAAAGAGATAATAAAAGAAAAATATTCAAAAAAGCAAGTCCAACATTAATTTTTTGGTAATGACTTTTTGTGAATTGTAGACACCCAATTTCGTCCGGGAAGCACAAAACAACAAGATAGGACGTCAAGGGTCCAAAAGCCCAAATTAGACATTTTAAGTGGCCTGGAACGGGCCGTTCCCAAGTCTGGAACGGGCCGTTCTCGATTTGGAACGGGCCGTTCCAAGGCTCCTAAAAAGCCTATAATTTGTAAACTGGAACGGGCCGTTCCAGTCTCCTAAAAGTGGGCTAAACGTGTACCCTAGAACGGGCCGTTCTGGTTCCCCGGAACGGGCCGTTCTGGTTTCAGAACGGGCCGTTCCAGGGTCCAAATTAACACACAACGGCCATATCCAGAACGGGCTGTTTCGATTTTGGAACGGGCCTTTGTGGACCCCTTCTGAAGTCTATAAATAGACGGCTGGGGCTCATTTCTCAGGATCCCAAAATTTCGTCCAGACTCTCTAGAGCACGAAATTTCTCTCCAGTTAGAGTAGTTTGTTTATTAGTTAGTTAGAAGGGGGCTTAAATACCTTACTCATTCTCGCAAATATTCTAGTTTTCACTCTTAGCCCTTGGGGTTTTTGTAATGATTCTTGTAAAGTTCAAACCTTTGAATTTTTGGTTTTGCTGTCAGTCTCCATTACAAAAACGCTTATTGAACTTGTTATTCTCCATCTATGTTTTTTTGCCATTCATCTGTATCTCATTATCATTTTCCAGGAATCACATACAAGGGTATCCATCTATTCGAATCTTTCGTAAAGGAAGTGATGTCAGGTAACAATGCCATTATGTAAAATCCATTGGTCAACTAGTGTATGATGAAGAATTCCTACCTTTTATTCAATATTTCAATTAACAAACATTTGTACTATATGTTATGTTATGTAAGATAATTAATATGATGTTATTAATTATTATACAGAATTAATATCATTAACTCATGGAGTTATCCCTGCACAAACCTCATTATGTACAATTCATGCATTTTAGATATTTCTCCTCGCTTTTTTGGTTAATAATGAACATGTGCTCATCTGGCATCTGCTTATCCTTTTCAGGGTATTATTACTATTATATACAATAATTTATGACTAGTTTAATGCTGTAATTTTTGTTTTTGGCTTAGATGCACTTTTGGTTCCTCTACATTGGCCATAGTGCGATTTTGGTTTACCAAGATCTTTTTTGAGTTAATTAAGTATCTTTTTAAAGTCAGAAAAATTTGGTCCCTTTATCACTTAATACCCTCATTATTATTTTTCTATCCAAATATTTGGGGGTTTATGATGGAATCGGGATATAATTTTAAAATTTAGAAGTACGAAATTTAGTTAAAACTTGATAAAATTTGATGGATTTCTATGATATGTGGGATTAGGGTTTGAAGAGGGAGAATTTTAAGATATTTTTGTGGAAATTTAATGTGTTTGTTTTATAAATAAAGGGAAGGGGGCTTAAATACCTTACTCATTCTCGCAAATATTCTAGTTTTCACTCTTAGCCCTTGGGGTTTTTGTAATGATTCTTGTAAAGTTCAAACCTTTGAATTTTTGGTTTTGCTGTCAGTCTCCATTACAAAAACGCTTATTGAACTTGTTATTCTCCATCTATGTTTTTTTGCCATTCATCTGTATCTCATTATCATTTTCCAGGAATCACATACAAGGGTATCCATCTATTCGAATCTTTCGTAAAGGAAGTGATGTCAGGTAACAATGCCATTATGTAAAATCCATTGGTCAACTAGTGTATGATGAAGAATTCCTACCTTTTATTCAATATTTCAATTAACAAACATTTGTACTATATGTTATGTTATGTAAGATAATTAATATGATGTTATTAATTATTATACAGAATTAATATCATTAACTCATGGAGTTATCCCTGCACAAACCTCATTATGTACAATTCATGCATTTTAGATATTTCTCCTCGCTTTTTTGGTTAATAATGAACATGTGCTCATCTGGCATCTGCTTATCCTTTTCAGGGTATTATTACTATTATATACAATAATTTATGACTAGTTTAATGCTGTAATTTTTGTTTTTGGCTTAGATGCACTTTTGGTTCCTCTACATTGGCCATAGTGCGATTTTGGTTTACCAAGATCTTTTTTGAGTTAATTAAGTATCTTTTTAAAGTCAGAAAAATTTGGTCCCTTTATCACTTAATACCCTCATTATTATTTTTCTATCCAAATATTTGGGGGTTTATGATGGAATCGGGATATAATTTTAAAATTTAGAAGTACGAAATTTAGTTAAAACTTGATAAAATTTGATGGATTTCTATGATATGTGGGATTAGGGTTTGAAGAGGGAGAATTTTAAGATATTTTTGTGGAAATTTAATGTGTTTGTTTTATAAATAAAGGAACTTAATTGACTCAAAAGAACTTGGGAGACCAAAATTGCATATTGACTAAATTAAAGGACCAAACATGCAATTAAGCCTTTTTATTCAATAAATATGGGAATGGGTTGGATCTAAAACTCAAATCTAGAACGTGATTAGTGATAAAAGTCAACATTAATGGAACACGAGGAAAGGATGAAAATAGTGCATTAAAATAGGTGGGAAAGGACATGACTATATGTTTCAATGGGAAATGGTTAGAGTTATGAAATCATTTTGTGAAAATATATATGAATAGGTTAATTTTGTCTTGTTATCGCATTTACATATTTTCATTATTGTTTGATTGTCATATTTTCATGCTTCCGTTATTATTTGAATTTGATTTGGTTGTTATTTCCTAATTCTCTATTTCCTTATTTAGCCTGTATAGTTCAGGTTTTATATAGGGATATCTCTTGTACCAAAATAATGTCATCACATCAGATCTCTTTAATACGCATGGAAAATAATGTGTACTCTGTTTTTTTCTTTTTCCTTTTCATCTCTAAATTACCTAAATCTTCATATTTCAACATGTTTAAAATTATTTTATTTTTCTTAATGTTTGGTTGAAAAAAAAGATAAAATGAGTGCATTCCTAGAGCAATTCACAAAACCATTTGCGCAATGTTGCACTGCTGTATCACCTAAGAGGATCAGCTGAATATTCAAATTGAAATCATGTCGATGACCAATTTTGTAGTTATTGTAGCTATCTTTGGACAAGTTAGCAAGACTTACCTCCTTGACATTCTCAATGAATCAAACTTTTAATGGACAATGTCACTTCTTTATAATGTTTAGTTCTCCATTGTATTTAGAGGTCTTTCTATTCATTTTAAGCCATATCTTTATGATATTTTGCACATCCTGATTACTGTTTCAAATTGTTTGACGACTGGATTTCTAAAGTTTTGGATTTTTGATTAAATCTAGTTTGCTGAATACTTTTCAGAAGTGAACATGGGCATCATGAGCATGAGTCATATTATGGAGATCGTGATACAGAAAGCCTAGTCAAGGTTTACATTATATTTATTTTAAATTAGCATAATTTGAACCGGTAGACTTGATGCTTTTTTTGAAGTAATTAAACACCACTTTCTACCTGCAGTTTATGGAGGGTTTAGTTGCATCTCTCCCAACAGAATCTCAAAAGCTAGCTCTGGAGGATAAATCTAATGCTACAGGGAATACAAAAAGGCCAGCGCCATCAGCAGGTGGATGTAGAATAGAGGGATATGTGCGTGTGAAAAAGGTAAATGCCCAAAAGGTCAAGGTTTAATCATCAAATATAATTTATAAAATCTCCTTGTTTTTCTTAAATAGTTTTCATATGTAACCATGAGTTATGAAGGTCTTACATTGCTCTGGAAGTAACTGATGCAATTGATTCCACGTTTTCTTTGTCTTTTTGGTTTTAGTAGAAGCTCCAGTTATTAATACTAAAATCTCTAAAATAACTTTTTCTTTCCCTAGATTTCAAAAAAAAAAAATGTTGAAAAAGAAATATAAGCTGTTTTCCACTATGCAGGTTCCAGGAAATTTGATCATCTCAGCTAGATCAGACGCCCATTCCTTTGATGCTTCTCAGATGAACATGTCACATGTCATAAACTACTTGTCCTTTGGAAAGAAAGTGACAGCTAGGGTCATGAGTGATGTGAAGCTCTTGATACCATACATTGGTAGCAGCCATGACAGGCTCAATGGCCGGTCATTCATCAATACTCGTGATTTAGGAGCAAATGTTACAGTAAGTTCAATATTTATATGAAGAACATAATTTAGTGTTTACTTTACTATTTGACTTTTGTTGGTTGCCATGTGTTGAATGTTTGATTTCATAATGGGCAAAAAGTTTGTTGATCTCCATTTGCAAGAGTAAGATGTTACAGATAGCATGAATGCCCAGGACCTCCTCATGTAGTGCTTTGCTTTTCTTTATTCCTTTTCTTCCAAATGCCTCATATTCCTATAAATCATGTTTCTGCAGATAGAGCATTATATTCAGATAGTTAAAACAGAGGTAATGAATAGAAAAGGCTATAAATTAATTGAGGAGTACGAGTACACAGCGCACAGCAGTGTGGCACACAGTGTAGACATTCCTGTTGCGAAGTTTCATCTTGAGCTCTCCCCCATGCAGGTCTGCATACATTTAAGGTTATATAGTTTTGGATGAAATTTTGAACTTGTAAATTCATTTAAGGTTTACAATGTTCTTGTCCGCAGGTCTTAATAACAGAAAACCAGAAGTCTTTTTCACATTTTATTACAAATGTCTGTGCCATTATTGGGGGAGTTTTCACGGTTTGTATTAGCCATTGTTCCCCATACTTTTTGTTTTATGTTTGATTTTTTTTTATAATTATATTGTTGATTAGTCTTTTATTTTTTATTTTTATTTTTATTTTTATTTTTTTCCCTTTTGTGATTTCAGGTAGCTGGAATTTTGGACGCGATTCTGCACAACACTATTAGAATAATGAAAAAAGTAGAGCTTGGCAAAAATTTTTGATAGATAGATGAAAATTTTGTATAGCGTAGGGCCTGATTTTGTTATGCCCAGTTTCACTTAACAGTTCTATAGATATTAACTATGCTATACATCATACAAATATAATTTTGTAGTTACTTCGGTAAAATGTTCATTACAAGGATAAAGATTATGTGGCGCATAATGTATCTGATATTTGTCTTAATTAATTTTTTTGTTGCTTTTAGGAAAGAACATAATTTATTAGAGGAAGGGTACGTAAAAAGTTTAGGGGAAAAATGATAGAGTAGGAGCATGACTAATTTTGACTGCAAAATTGGGTGTCAAGTAATGAAAACCATGACTTGAGACTCAGCTGTTAGCACAGAACAGTTTCCTTCTCTTAGGCCTGTTTATTGAAATCACTCTTAAAAATAAGTCATTCGCAATTTGCAGTGTACTTCGAGACAAAAATGATCAATTGGTGTGGCTAGAACCTTTTTCTTACCAAAGGGAAGAGAGAGAAAAAGGAATAAAATAGAAGAGTTGATGTGGTAGCTTCTCTTATTTTCTTTCTCAACAAGAATCTTCCAGTAAGCACTTTTAGTTTCTATAAGCAAAATGAAATTGCGAGGTGCATGTTATTTTATAAGGGACTATAAATTGAGATTTTAAATAAGGTTTTTGATTCCTATGTTATTGCTATTATATAATTAGTCTCTTAATTCTAGATTGTGCAATTGTAGTCGTGTTTTGATATCTTTTTAAAGTGTAATTTCGGTCTGATTGTTAGTTCGTTGTTAATTTTTAATGTTTCTTCCTAACTTGTCTGTGCACTATTAGTGAAGTTCTCCTTCAATTACACTTTTTTTAACCTAAAATACTTAAACTCAAAACTTTATTTTAGAGTATTCGGTTTATTTTCGTTCGCACCAATATCTGTTAGTATTGACATGTTAATTTATTTTTGCCATGAACATAGTATCGAAATAAATAATGAATGACTAATTTGCATGTGTGTGATTTTTGCTGATAAAATATTATTTTAATATAATAATTTGACACATTAATATGGTATATAAGATTAAAATTATACAATTATAATATTTTAAAGAATAAAATTGTACACTTGTATTTAAAGATTATTATAATGAAAAAATAAAACATGTTAAAATATTTCAATCAAGTACGACCAAAATAAAACTAAAATAATATAATTCCACCATTCAAAATGTGTTCATACAATTCCAAAATATAAAGCAAACACTTGTGCGACCAAAATAATACCAAAATAATATAGTTTGACAAATCCAACATGTGTTCATACACAACCAAATTATAAAGAAAATACTCAAATCAAGTGCAACTAAAATAACATCAAAACAATATTGTTCATCCTAGCTTGTACTTTATCCAATTTGAACGCTCTTTTATTGACAACATCAAGAAAAAGTCTTTCTTTGCATTAGTATTGAGGAAATCAGCTGACATGTAGCGAGTTCGAACATCCAAATTTGGGATCTCTTTTATGGCACTCCAAAATATTTCCCTTTGCTTCTTGGTATCTTTCTCTTTTTTCCATCAAGTTAGACATTTTTTCAAAATTGGCGGCTATAGTCTCAATGCCAACAAATAGATTTTCTAGAACTTTGGCTTGACTATTGTTCCCAATTGAGTTAGAACTCACTCCATACTCAGACCTACTCCACTTACAATTAATTGGTTTTTCAGTGGGAACCATTGAACTTAAAGGGGGTTGAGGTGTTGAAATTCTTGGGTGAGGTGATGGTGGCTAGTAAGGTAGTTCATAGTGATCTGGTGTTATGGTGTTATGAATACATCATTGTTAAGATCTAGTGTTATGAATACATCATTATTAGATACTAGAATGTCTTATGTTAATTTTCTTTTTTTAAAATATAAAAAAATCCAAATTTCACAATATAAAAATTAAAATAAAAATTCATAGTAAAAGATAATAATTGTTGAGTCATAAAAGAAGGAGGAAGATAAGAGTAACAAATTCAAGAGAAGAAGAGAGATCGCAATTTTTATACAGAAAGGGTTTTTCCCCCAATTAAGATCCATTTTCATCTCATTATACTCATAGAAACCCTAACTCAAATTCATCTTATATATATATATTGTAGAGATCATGATATCAATTTCATCTTTTACCTTTCCCTTTTCTTGACCTGTGTTATAAAAAAATTATCACTTAAAAGTTAAAATTTCAAGCATTTTTTTTGTGTTATATAAAGGAACAAATTCAACTAAATAAAATAAAATAGAGCAAGTCAATTAAAGAGAACGAAGAGAAAAATAGAGCAAGTCAATGATACTGTCATTTATATATCAGAGTTTCACAAAATAGGGAAATGGAATGGGAACAATACTACAATATTATATATGAGCAATGAACAATAGTGCAATATTAATTGTAGAGAAAAAATTGAGAAGACGAGAGCATAGAAAAAAAAATGAAAAACTCATTTGAAAATTCTTGAAGCACTTGAAAAGTCACTTCAAACAATCCTCCGAAATCCGATAGGTTTGGATGAGATTGTTTTATGAATTTGGTATTTATAGATAACACTAGAAAGTCATTCAAAATCCCTCTAACACAATAATCATTTAAAATCCTTATATTTTGAATACCAATTGATTGTTTTTAAGTTGTAAATGAATACTAATGGATTTTAATAGACTCTTTAAAAAATATTGAAAATCCAGATTAAATACCACTGAATTGTTTTTAAGTGACATAAAATCCCGATTGAATACCAATTGACTTTTTTACTCAAAAAAAAATCTTTTAAAATTTTATGAAATCCTAAACCAATACACCCCCTAAGTTTTCTTACTTCCTACCGTTAACCCCTTTCTAGCCGTTTCATCCTCTGATGACCTCCACTAAGGTGTCATATATCGTGAAAGGCTAGGTACAGGACATCAAAGTTAGCTTACATTGACCTTTATTTAATTTTTTTTTTAAATATCTCATTTTTTTATACTTATTTCAATAATTTTAAGACAATATATTTTTAGTTTCTATAAAATGAAAGAGTTTCTATTTAAGTTTTATAAATTTTTTTCTTTGTTTTCCATTTTTTTTATAAAATTTATAAACATTATTTTGTCTTTGTGAAATGAATTTTTTGTTTTGATTTTGATCTGATTTTCATTTTTCTAAAATCTAAAGTCACTTTTTATGGCTACTAATAGTTGTTTTAAGATAAATAAATAACGGTTGTTTTATAGATGTATGCAAATTTTCTAATATTAACACGATGTCACAAATAATTGTGAGTAACATCTAAGGTAATCATTTAATTATTTCATTAAAAAAGTAATTAAAAAGGATCACATAAAAATGGAGATTAAAAATAATAGTTTCAAATTTTAGAGAGATAAAAAAATAAAGAAAAAATTTACAGAGATTAAAATCAAAGCTTACTAATTTTGTAGAGACTAAAAACATATTTAATTTTTTTAAAATAAATTATCAATAGTTAAAAATAAATTTTATTATAGCATAAATTATTTAGCATAAGTTAAAAATATTATTTGTATGTTTATACAAATTTTAGTTATAATATAATATATATCAATAAAAAATTTAGTTTTTTCCTTTTTTTTTGTCTGTAATTTTTTTTTTTATATCTATTATTAAATGAAATTTGGTTTTGTATCATTTTTATGTTTTTGCTTTTGAATCATGAAAAGATAAAGTTGCCAAATCATACCTGGAAAATAAGTACTTATAATAACTATAAAAGCTATACTACGATGAAATTGGAGTGGAGAAAGAAAAAGTGGTGAAGATATGTTCTTTAATTTTAGTAGAAAAGAAGGAAAATAAGGAAAAGAACATTCTTGAAAATAAAAATGGGGTTAACTGCCATATACCCTGTTTCGTTTGTATAAACCAACATGGGAGGCAAACTCATAAAGAAATGTGCATGGATGAACCCCTCATTTTGGTTCTCTCATCATAGGCAGAAATGCTACAGAAGGATGCATGATGGTTGTTAAGAAGTGGATTTGTTGTTTTGACCCTTATAATAGCATGAACCTTATGTCAATTTGTCTGGTTCATCACTTAATAGGTATTACTTGCAAGAAATTAAGGCTGTTGGGTAGATTTTTCTAAATGTATATATAATGCTAATAACATTTCAGGAGTACTTTTGTATAAAAAATAATGAAATTAGGAGTATTCAAATTCTTTAAAATGCTGTAATAAATTATACTTTTCATTAACCCAAACATATATGAAGAATAAGTTGACAATGAATTGCTATGTGTATATTACATTATACTGCTTTTTTAATAGTTTTTTGGGATGCTTTTTTAAATTCTGGTTCTTAAATTTAAAAACTTCTGCAATATCTTTACTTTCTTTCTCCTCAGTTTTGTTCTATTTAAACATCATCAGGAAACAGTTGTATTCTCTATATTTTTCATTTCTTTTGTTTTCTTCCCTGCTTCTTTCTTTTATCACCAAGAGTTGAGAATTGAGATTGACGTTGTGCTTCTATCTGCAAAACACAAATTTTTTGTTGTTGACAAAACTGGAGCTTAGTTTCCATGTCAATTAACCTTTTTGATACATATTAAAGAAAAAGGCGAGGTACTTCTGTAAATAAAGTGAATTGATAGTTAATGGCTCTCTGTTAAAAAGTAAAAATTGATTGTATGGGAGTCAAAGCCAAGATGTGGAAATATCATTGTGATGTTGCATTCTTCTTAGTTTATGTTCTCTTCTTTTACTCGGAGTTGGGGGAAAGAGAAGGGAAACAAGTAAGCTCCAGTTAGAGTAGTTTGTTTATTAGTTAGTTAGAAGGGGGCTTAAATACCTTACTCATTCTCGCAAATATTCTAGTTTTCACTCTTAGCCCTTGGGGTTTTTGTAATGATTCTTGTAAAGTTCAAACCTTTGAATTTTTGGTTTTGCTGTCAGTCTCCATTACAAAAACGCTTATTGAACTTGTTATTCTCCATCTATGTTTTTTTGCCATTCATCTGTATCTCATTATCATTTTCCAGGAATCACATACAAGGGTATCCATCTATTCGAATCTTTCGTAAAGGAAGTGATGTCAGGTAACAATGCCATTATGTAAAATCCATTGGTCAACTAGTGTATGATGAAGAATAGCCGTTCCAGGATCCAAATTAACACACAACGGCCATATCCAGAACGGGCCGTTCCGATTTTGGAAC